TGGAAGTTTCTCGATAATTACAGTCATTTGAAAGGTTTTAGTTAGAGACATGTTCTCAACTTGAATGTCACGGAGAAGAATCGGCAATTCTTGTAATTAACTGATCATCATTTTGAAATCCACCATCTTATAGTGTAAGAATTTTTCGACGATGAACTTCTTAGTTTCGACGTCTTCAGTCTTATATTTCTTCTTTGATGATTCCCATAAGTTCTTATCAGATTTCATGGAACTATACACATTGTATGGTGTGTTGTACAAACCGTTCAGTATGTAATTCTTACATAAGAAGTCTGAATGTTTCGAAGTATTTAATTCGATTAATGATTCCCTATTATTTTTTCATTCTTGTACGATGGGAGCATTTTCATTCAGAAATTTTACAAAGTTGAGGGTTGTTAGATATAACATCTTCTGTTGCCATCTTTTCGATTTCTCTCCTTGTATCATAGAGGTTAGATGAACAATAGTAGGGCGAATCGTAATCAGAGTAACAATAATTGAAGGAACAACAATAGAAGTAACATTGGTAGAATCATTAACAGTAGTATTTTTGAACAAACGAAGATAAATCGATCCAATTTTTTACCAGATCAAGAGAGAGTAGAAAAAGTTAAACCGAAAACGAATTTCAGTTTAGTCAAGTAAAACAGAAAATTAATTAAAGAAATCACCTAAAAAAATTCATCTCAAGATTGTTATAAATATAACGATGAAGTGATTTCTTCATTATAGGAAATAAATGATAATACAAACCTACTCGGAAATCAGAGACAAACTTGAACAAACACGAATTAGAAAATGGAATGTAGAATATTGGGGCAAAAGTTAAACTATTTATCCTTAAGACGAATCTGCCACGAATAGGTGCCGACAGTAGATTGGCAATCATCTTCCAAGATATAATGATCGGTTCTTGTGAAGGCAGCAATTCGAATCATAAGAAACGCGATCCAAAGGAAGTTTAGTACTCCTTTTGTGTGAAATGAAAAAATAATTTTGATGCAAAAATTTTGCTATGAATTTGATGCTAATATATGCAATGATTGCATAGAACTGAAATGAATGAAACCATCGTAAGGGGATTCAATTTATGGAGGTTGAATAGTTGTAGCCGGAAAGACAAAACACAAAAATCAACTTGTTCACGAAAGGTTGCACAACTTCATTGACTGCTAGCCTTATCGCTTGAGCGATTTTTTTCAGTAATTAGTCTGCTTGCTGCACTTGAGGTGGCCGCTCGAGCACTCCTTTAGGTTTTTGAATTATCGTTTTATTATGTCGAAAATCATGTTTATCAACCCTATTTCATCCACTAATTTCTCATTCATTTGAAAAATAGCTTTTGACTTTCAAATATACCAAACTTATCTATTCGAGGAGTAGAACGTGTTCGACCCATTTTTTTTTTTCTCAAATTCGAGTAACGAGACCCATACAAGTGTTTGGTCAGAAATTGGTCAAAATCATCTTTTTATTAGCTATTTTTTAACAATTACTATATTAGTTGATTCATTTTTATATAAAATAGTTTTCTGCATTTGAAATTTACTTTCATGTATTCAATTTTAAATTTATTTAAGAAAAAACCTAGTTTGTTACCCATATGTAATGAGAAAGCAAACAACCCTATATCCCCTAACATTTAGAAATAGTTTTTTTTTTTACTATTGTTTATTATATAGATACCTATTTGACAACCATTATTTAAAAACTCTTTTTTCTATATACTCATTTTCAACCACATATTCACACAATAAAATATTCTGCACGTAAATTCAAAACTTTTCTCTACTTTTTAATTACACATTCTTATAAAAATCACTATTCAAAACTCTATTTTATCCAAATACTGATTGTCAAACAAGGGCTAAATATACCATTATCTGTACTTCAATGACACTCATGAATTTGTCGTATAATTGATGGTGTTGGTAAAAAAAAAAAACACATCATGAATCTAACAACAAGCCCCTTCAACCAAATATTTGTATAGGAAGTAAAATTCAGCGCGATACGTGTTTTTTTAATTTATAAGAGTATACCCAAGAGATTCTTTATTTTAAAAGAGATTCGTTATCATAATAGAGGGTATCTTTAAATTTAAAGAGTATAATATTTTATAAACTACAATAAACTTTTTATTTTTGCACTTTATTTTACTATTTTCAACTTTCATCTCTCTCATTTTTCAATTAATATATATACTCTTTTAGATGTCAATGGCTACAATATTTTATATAATATTAATAATTTAAATAGTTAAGTATTGGGACTTGCAATATTATTAAACAAAATCTCTATAAAATACATATAGAGAATGAGTTTGGCTAACACTCATTTTTAAAACTTAGAATAAAGAGTTTATTGAAACCTAATTTTAAGGTTTGACTATTTAAAATAAAGAGTATTTCATTTTTAAAGAGTCCTTTTAAACTTCAAGATTCCATTCTCTAAATGCAAAGTGTTCTTTATTTTAGAGAGTTAATGTTTGAAATAATCTATAAGAGATTCCATATTTTAACTTTTTTGAATAACAAGTGAGTTTTGCTCTTCAAATTTAAAGAGTCAAACCCACTTTCTATTCCCAATTTACAATAATTGCATTTAATTAACTACATATTTCAATACGCCATTTTTGAAATTATTTAAACCACATTTAAATTGATAGCCATGACATATAAAAAAATATATTAAATAAAATATGAGGGGAAATCAATAACTATTTTTTGAGAAAAGCAAAATGATGAATCAAAATAGAGAGTAATGTTGGAGCGAATAAAAAAATGTACTCTCTATTATATATAATAGATTCTTTATAGGAAATACCTTAAGAAAATATAACTAAACTTCTTGAAATTAAATATTCTATGGAAAATAAAAGGGACTCGATGTTTTAGAGTACAAGAAGTTGAATATGAATTTTACCTGCCGAATATTATTTTGTACCACATGGATCATCAACTTGAGTATTAATGGCCCCACCGCATCAACTTCAACAATAAAAAATCCCCATTTCCCAATGGGCAAGGATCAAAAGTGCTATTCAGCATAATTACAATTTATTGCAATAGGTTGGTATTATATTATCTAGTTATTTTCATGTGATCTTCTACCTCTTTCTTGATTTCCTTTTCGAAACTGGGGACTACTTTGAGGCCACATCTTCCTCTTTGTATCCCACTCCATAATCTAATTAATAGTAAATATCAGTGCTGTTTTGACAATAAAATTTTAACTTTTTTAATTTTTTATTTTAATACTATTCATTATTATCTAATCATCAACATTACATATTTGTTTTAGTAGAATGGATTAAAGTGAACAAGATTAGCTGGGTAATTCCATTTGCAGGCCCTGAACTTTAAATGAAATTTTATAGGGTTATTGAATTTTAATTTGTCTCATTTGAATTAGTGAATTTCAATTTAGTTTCAAAGGAATTAGAGTATCTTTAAGAAACTGTCTACATACAAGATGCTCATTGTTTTAGAGAGTGAATGCGTAAGTAAAAAGAAGCTCCAAGAAAACTCCTATTCTTAATTTATAATATCTGAATTTAATAAGTTGCATATTTGAATTGATTTGCCATTAAAATTTAAATAAAATATGTTAAAAAAAGATGAAATGATAAACATATATTTTTTAAAAGCAGAATAAAGATTCAAAATAAACAGTATTGTTGTAGTATCTCTCGAATGTTTACAATAAAAATGATCTTTATAAATAAAGTCTCTCGAATGTTTACAACTTAAGTCTCACATATACTCATGTCTCGTATATAAAAGAGAGAATGTTTACAACTTTTGAGAAGAATGAAAAGAACAATTTTTTTTTTCAATAATGATTAAATAAATATTCTTAACTTATCGAGTAAGAAGATCATTATGACGAGATTTTTTTTTTTTTAAAAAGAAAAATAAATAAATCAAACTACTCTTTTACATATCCAATCCAAAATAAAGCCTTTACAACCAAAATAATGATTATTTGGTGAGAGGCGATAATAAAATTATTATGCAAATATTATAATAGCTGCCTATTAACTCGAGAACTATTGTTACAGTGAAAAAAAAAAATCATAGATTAGTGTATTTGTTAATTATGCTAAAAAAATGTGCCTTAATTTGTGTATATGAGACACGATGAGATCCACAAAATGTGCAGGAACTGTGCCACCGACTTCCCATTTACACCAACTCCACCAAATCTGGCTCATAATGCAGTATGAATCCCAAGTAATAAACTCGACATGAACCATTAACGTCGATTTGAGTCTCATGCCTAATTCATTATATCATACGTACCGTTCGCTATATTCAAATTCAAAACATCTGGCTTATGAGATATTTAAGTTAAAAACGGACATTACGTATGATATAACGGTTTGGACACAAAGCTCGAGTCTTTACAATTAAGTATTCCATCTTTCGATCGGTAAATCGGACCATCTAATTTATTACTAATCTGTCGAAAATCTTGCCTGTCACAGTGACTGAAGTTGTTTGTTGCAAAACCAACAGGGAACATGGATTTGCCACATATATTATAGAACATCCATCTCATCACGTGCATTGCACACCCTCTTTATAAAATTTGTCTTAAAAGAAATTTGGGCTTCTAAAATTTGACCAACCACATTAATTATTATCATGATGTTGTTAGCTAGGTAACAAGTTTCCCTACCTGCATGCCGTGCCGTCACAGCTACTCATGTTTCTTCAAATATAATTCATTCTAATCAATTATCAACCGTTTAATTTAATTTATATGCTATAATATTAATCAATCATAATCATGATTTAAAAAAAAAAAAAAAAAGAATCATTTAGATGATATATATCTACTACAAAAATTAATCAACTATTTTCATAGTGTAATTTACATGCTCAAACTGATTCAAGAAGTAAAGCATTGAAATGAAATTACAAAACTCATCATAGAACAAATTCAAACCTCTCACTAACCACTTCCTTTTGTATGATCATTATATATTTTCTTCAGTGGTGCAAAGGGTTTGGACCACTCGGGACCAGGCGCTTATCGACCCCATAGCGTGGATCAATCTCTGGCGGCCCTCTCTCTGGTGTGTGTTTCCGGTGGTGGCGGTTGAGAAAGGGACTAAAATCAAACTTGGCGGTGGCCATTGCTTTTCTATGGATTAAAGGATGATGCAATAGGGTTGACGATGAGGAGCCATTGGTTTCATAGTTTTTGAGGTATTTGAGACCGTAGAATTCATGAAAGAGTACTATGAGGAGGAGAAAGAGCCAAAGAACGGAAAAGAACACATGAGGAATTCTCAAGGCCATGTGGGAAGAGGTGAAAGAGAAGGGTTTTTGGAAGAGGAAGCATGGAGCAATGAAATAAGGAGAAATCCGAGTCTATTGAGAAATTTTTGAAGGTTGACAGCTTGAATATCTAATAAACCAAATATAGGATATGTAGAGGGCTGAATTTAGATAGTGCTTGATAATATGTTAGACTTGTGGCGATACTTTTATATTTTCATTTTTACGACAGATAAAGAGTGAGAGAGGAGAGAGAAAGAGGCCCTTTTCCCAATTAATGTTCCTTAAAAATCAAGGAACAAAAGGGTTATTATGCAGATTTTCAAACCCCTCATTATATAATGTTTGATTATGTTTACCATATCAAACTTTTGATATCTTGAAAGTAGGAGAAATTGATAGTTTAGGAGCGTTTAAATCTCTCTCTCTCTCTTTTATATATATATATATATATACACACTGACATGATCTGAGTTGACGCGATACTAATAACATTAGTAAAATATAATAATATTAAAGATGAAAAACAAAAATAAATAAAAAGGTCACGTCACAAAAAAAAATTTCAGAATTCAATGAGGGTCTGGGACCCCACTAGCCACAGCCTCCCTTATGCCACTTATGCTAGAGCAATCATGATACAGTGCCATATATGTTAACAAAAATATTGACATAATGTCACATTGAATTTTTAAACACAACGCGATACTAATAACGTTAGTCACAACGAATGAGATAGAGACCGAACTCAAAATTTTGAGAAAAAATTTCAAACACAAAATATAATAATATTAAAGATAAAAAACAAAAATAAATATAAAGGTCATGTAACAAAAAAATTTTCAAAATTCAATGAGGGTCTGGGACCCCACTAGCCCAGCCTCCCTCATTCCACTTATGCTAGAGCAATCATGCTACAATGTCTTATATGTTAATAGAAAGATTGACATAATGTCACGTGACATTCTATTATTGGAGCGTTTAAAACATAATCAACTTTGTCGTCCAATTATCTGCTACCACCTACACTTCGATCATTGCATCTGCCAAAATCCTTGTGACAAAATAGCAAATCCATGCTAGAGAGTGAGTGGTGAGCACGTGTGAGTATTGAACCGCTTCGCGTGCATATTTCACTCTTGAGGCTTGACGTGTGTGGCAATTTAGTGTTCATAATTGTAGAGTGAGTGGTTCTTGGCCGAAGCAAGTGTGGGCATTGAACTATTTGTGTACATGTTTTGCCTTTGAGGCTTTAAAGTGTGGCAACGTACTGTTTATAATTGTTATAGTTCCAATTTAAATTTCCATGACATAGCCGAGCCCCTTGTCAACACAAGCTTCATTGGCCGATGTGGTATGGCCGAATGTCTTTGGTCTGCGATGTGTATATGTGTGTGTATGTACAAAAAATACACAAGTTGAACCAAATGCTGGGTGGGGTAAAGCAATCCATATTTTCATTCCACCAAGCAATCTGTGCACCGTTTGAAAAAGGGAAGATGATTCTTTAAAAAAAAAAAAAAACAGAAAGAGGAGATTAATGATTGAAGAAGGAAAGGAAAAATTATTAATTATCTTACTATGCATTTAAAATAAGGCTAATTAGCACAAAACGTCTCTACCTTTGAGGTTGATTTCGGAAACCGTCCCTACTTTTCATTTCTTGACATTTATGCCCTTACCTTCAACAT